GGAGGGCGGAGGAGCGACGCTCACAACAACGAGCGGAGCGCCGGGTGGCTAAAGTACAGCAGGTTGGCACAGTAGGGGGCACAGGTGGTGCATCAGCCAGTCATCTCAGTCAGTCGACCCATGGCACCTGGGTCTGCCCCGTGACCTCCTGCCAGCGGGCGTTCGACACTTCACTTGGCCTCAAGGTGTACATGGCCTGGCACAAGCGTCGTGGTGATGTCACCGCCACTTAGTGGCGAATGGCGGTTGTTGTTGTCACCGGGGAGTTTAAAATTCTCAGGCTGAGGTAGGGGGCGATTTATGCTGTGAGCGAGAGCCCTCGACAATGAATGTCCTTCGATTCATTGCTTTATTCAACTACCTTGACGAGGTGGAAAAACCTCTGTCGTGTAGGCTAACGACATCCGCGCAGGGTTCTGTTGGGAAGACGATGGCGCGGGTGGTTGTGGGTGGATGGGGGAGGCAATGCTTGTAGTAGGAATTTATTCAGTTAAGAATTATTGGCACTAGGTTCAGTTATTTTTAAACGTTAGTCATGTTTGTCTCCACATGCGTACTCCTTGTGTTTAAATAAACAGAGCAGGCACAAGGCGCTGTCAAAATTCTGCTCGCTTTTCAACATTGCTCCTCAGGCTTGCTGAACAATTGTAAATAAATTAGCGCATTTGTTCATCGCATGACAAATTTGATTTGATCTAGATTTGAAGTTTTCGTGACTGCAGGGATCCATACTCTTTTGGTTCTTTCAGTAAAGTCACGTAGGTAGAAAATAAAATAAATTAAATCACAACGTTTCGGGCGCAACACAAGCGCCCGTCATCAGGTGGGACAACCACAGCAAGAAACAATTGCTGAAGTGGGTAGAAGGACTCCTGTAATATGAGGTTATATAGGTAAGAGAGGGGGGAGGGGCCAGGGAGGAGAGGGCGGGGGGTAGGGGAAGTGGAGTGATTTGATTTGGCGCTGTCGGATGGTGGAGGGTTATAGTTAAAACATTTACATGACACCTAAACGATCTAACCCCGGGGAATCTTAATTGTGAATCGCAGTTACTGCAACCTCTTGTAGTGAATTCACTGGAACCGTTATTCCTTATAAGGTGTGGCTTTTGACTGCTTGCGGATGCGTGGCATACAACCTGCCAGCCAGCCAGGTTTACTCGGCCTTGCCGGGACAGTTGGCCTGGCTGTTTTTGAGGATGCGAGATGCGGTGGGCCTGAGGGGGGGACAGCACTTATAGACATTGCTCGCCGTCACTTGGCAAATCACGACAGGTTATGGGAACCCAGGTTGGTGTTGTCGTGTAGAAACGGTTCGTCGCTTTATCCAGTCGTCGGAAATGGTGGATGTAGGCGGGGTGGGATATATCCATAGCCAAACGTTTTGTAAACAAGAAAACCCGCTGTGCAGTTTGAATTCACTTAGAAGAAGGCAGGTTCCAGAGCACCGCAGGAAACGTGAGGTAAAACTTGTGGTTTAATTCCTGCCGGTCACAAATAAGAGAGTAATCTTCTTTGGTTCTTTCGGTAAAGTCACGTAGAATGAGAATAAAATAATAAATTGCTAAAATAAAATAACACAATAATATTCTCACGACGTTTCGGCCACAACACAAGCGGCCTTCATCAGGTGAAGGGACGAGACAGTCTCGAGACTGTCTCGAGACTGTCTCGAGACTGTCTCGTCCCTTCACCTGATGAAGGCCGCTTGTGTTGTGGCCGAAACGTCGTGAGAATATTATTGTGTTATTTTATTTTATCAATTTATTATTTTATTCTCATTCTACGTGACTTTACCGAAAGAACCAAAGAAGATGAATCATTGCAGTCACGAAAGCTTTAAATCGATTAGAGAGTAATGTTTTGATAGATGTATGCTGTGCGACTGATCCACGTGTCGGAGCAGGCAATATACCTGTACAAAAAACTTGGATATTCAAGGTTATGATTAATAATAATTTTAGTTGTATAGAGCGTAATATATGCTAATTGCTTCTGACAACGCTGTCCGATAATTATATACATAATCACGTGAACGGTTAAAACGTTTATAGCAATTATATTGAGTATGTGAAACCCTCAGAAAAAAAAATTTAAGCCAACAAATCAGAAATCACAAACTCAGGCACAGAAAAGTACGCAAAGAAGCATGGTGCGGTGCACATTTGGCAATACTTTGAGAGATTAACAGTGGAACACGCGGATTCCAGAAGATGCTAGAAACATTTCGGTCACTATAAAAAAATAAACGTTAGCGGGTCTGGGCCAAGACACGTCTCGAGCCAGGCTGATGGCTGGCGGTTGAGAATAACGACGGAGTGGCTGCCAAAGGAGAGGAGTGCCTCGTCCACCAATAGAGATGGAGCGATGAAAGCGGCGCAGGTGCTCGGTGTATGTTACTTTGTGATAATGACTGTTACCGCCCGCTGGACGCTCGCGGTTTTACCAACCCGAGAAATATCCCCGTCAGGCCGGATGGGAAGTGGAGACTGTGTTTTTTTGGGGGATGCGGGGTAGGTGGGGGGCGGAGGGGGCACTACGCACCATCCACAACTTCTCCTCCCGGTCGACGTGACATCGCAGGACAGTGAGGGACTGCGATTGCATGGGGTGGGCGAGGGAGGCCTTCGTCCAGTAGTGGATAGATCACCGCTGATGACGGTGACTCGCGACAGCTTGCACGCGTTCAGTTCCAAGCGTTCGTTCAAAAAAAAAAGTGGAAATTAATGAAAACAACACCATTTCCCCTGCTGACCAACAGACCAACTCGACGCTGTTCACCAGTGTTTATGAAATCCATTTCAAACCCCGTCGCCATCTTACGAGTCGGAGACTGCCAGAGGCTGTGCGTGGAGCAAACTCAAGAATGCTGCATGTCATCTTCACATCGTAGCATGCTCTGACATATTTAGCACGCAACGAAGCTAACGCTTCCTGTTGTTTATCCTTGATGTCAAAATATTACCATCGTTTTGTGTCTCCAGCCAGCTCGTTTCTGGCGAATTGGTTTTATCATTAGCTACAGAGGACGCTTTGATTTTCCTCATTAGAATGCTGATGCCATATTTCACCATGTCTGAAAAAGGACGGGCGCTCCATTTCGTGGGAAATATTTGCCCGGGCTGTGCAACGCGTTTCTTTGGAGAGACGGCTAAAAGAAATAAAACAGAATAATTTTCGAACAAACGCAAAAAAGCAGTGAAAAAACGTCCAGTCTCCGCAGACCTCTTGAGCCAAATCTGAAGCTAGTGATTATGGGGATAAAACATCGCCTTGTGTTCCTGCAGCTCAAGGCAAGCATAAACATGTGGTGTAGCATGCAGTCATTGCCCAAGCACCAGCAGCAGCAGCAAGCTCTGATGAGAGTGTCCGTGGGGTTTGGTTTTCAGTGGAGGAGGGCATGTTGTTGATAGTGGTGCTGCGTTTTTTTTAATCTATCCTGGGTACACCGCTGGGTTTGCTTGAATGGCGATGAAACGGAGCGAGGGCCGCGGTGCTCCGGTGGCGAATTAATGATGTTAATAAAGTTTGCAAAGAAGCTTCTGTGCGGCCATATAAATATAAATGCGCTCGAAAGGACACGGACGTGGGCGGCGAAAAGGAGTAGCGTTATGTAACGTTAGACAAACACAACTCTAAATTGAGAAATATAAATTCTGCGGGCGCGTATGCACGCGCTTGATGCATCTTCTGGCACAGCAATGCTCGCGAGCGTACATGAGCTTCCTCATTTTCGGTTATTTCCCCCCGTATGTCAATGGCCGGGTGGGCCAAGTGTCAAAGAATAAACTTTGTTTTGCATTGCGACCTTGTGCAAAGCGTTGCAGTGATTTTCAAAAGAATATGCAAGGGGGTTGCAGGTTATACCAGAGGGGAAAAAAATATTGAGGAGTGGGGAGAGATTTGCGGCCGCTTTAGGTAAAGCAAATGGGGGGGGGGTATTGGGGGGGAGGGGGGGTGGGTGAACCACGACGTTGACAGGAGACGTCTTGTTACGAGTGATTTCGGAACACGAAGCTTGCCTTGGCAGAATAATTACAGTACCGTGTATTTGGATCTGGTTGTTGGCTTTGGGATGGATGCCTCGAGTCTCTGTATGTCGTGACTGCCACCTGCTGGTGCCGGGTTGAATGGCAGCGTCAACCCAACGGCAGCATCGGTGAGGGTGAAATGCACCTGCGCGTGCGAGGTGAGCGGCGTGCACCGGCGGTGATGCACGCCCCCGTGTGACGTCGACAAAACGCGGCGGGGGGGGGGGAGGGGGGGGTGCTCTGTCAGTAAATTAAATTAACGATGCGCACGATAACTGTGAGGCTTTCGTTAACTGCTCACAATGTGTAAATTACATAGTTTGATGATGCTGCGTTGGCATTGTTGCACGAGCACAGTGAACCAAACACGGGCCTCCCACTCGAGGATATTTTGGCCTACTCTTCCAGGTTGGCCGGACATCTCGGAAGAGATGGGTGTAGCCACGTGTTACCCCGCCACACGCGACCTGCCAATCGGCTGACCGTGGCGTACCCCTTTATACCGCTGGGCGTGCACCGAGGCGGTGGGGTTCCATTGCCGAAAGCTGCCCTAGTTTTTCCAACTCGGCGCGCCGAGGCGGCCGAACCGAACGTGCGACCCGTGGGTCCCCCGACCGTGGTTGCCGTGCCATCGTTCCCGAAGCACCCCTCCTTTGCCCGTCGCCATCGTCGGCGTACGGCCGCCGTTGATTGAGAGCATCGGCGATCATTTTACGCCGAGTCGGTTGAGTTGCGTAACTACGTCCGGAGTAGCGGGAAGCGGTGAATCGCCCCTGCCGCGACGATGCCTCCTCCTTTTGTCATTTGTGAATCGGGCTCCGGGTCGTTCTGGGGGGGGGGGGGGGGACCGACGGTCTTGCACCCGGCACGTCGCTACCAGCCAGGTTAACGTGATACGAGAGGTCCTTGTTTCCCTTTGTCTGGTCACAGTGGCGGCCAATAACGGGGTGGTGGTGGTGTCAATGTGCAGAGAACTGAACACGGAGGACCAGATCGTGTTGCTCAAGTCCAGCGTCATCGAGATCATCATGCTGCGATCCAACGAGTCCTTCTCCTCGGAGGACAACTCTTGGGTGTGCGGCAGTGAAGAGTTCAAGTACAGCATCAGCGACGTCACCCAGGGTTCGTCCGCTTCCCCCCCCCCCGACCCCCACCCTCACCCCCCACCAGCTGTGATGGTGGACTCCCGTTTTCCATCTTACTATAAATCGTTCTCCTTATATCGCCCCTAGCTTAATTGGATCAATAAAACCGTGTAGCGACATCAACCCCCTACCTTCTCAATTCGAGAACTATATTAGCTCCTCTATTAAACCTTCAATCGTGCCCGTTGTTGTTGTGGGCTTTGCATTGTTGTGGCCTTTTGGCCCGGTGTGCTTTGCAACTGGGATCAAGGAAACGGAAGATGTCTGGCGGTGTTTCGAGTGATACGAGCGTAGGCCAAACGCAGTGGGCGTGATACCTGTGCAGGAACTGTTTCGAATTGAGGCTTGTTTAACGGGCATTTTGTAAAAATTCTAGAAAGACGTGACAGACGGAATGTGTGTAGTGCATTGAGACAGCAGGGGACACCCTTCGATTAAACACAGCAACGATTGTCTGCTCGAGAGTCTCAACTTCTTGTTTTCACGCTGCGGCGTTTTCGCAATGAGCAGCAAGCGGCTCACCCGGTTGCGCTTGGCGACGTAAAACGTTGCGTAGAGTTTTCAAAAGCAAATTTTGTTCGGCCAGCCACATGAAAACCGATGCTTTCGGGGGGGGGGGGGGGTGGGGCGGGCGGAAGGTGGTCGCGAGAGGCGAATGGGAACCCTCGCCTGGCCAAGCCCTGGCAGGCAAAGTGACAGACAGAAAGATAGTTATTGGTATCGGAGAAAGTGGGTGGCGCGATCTTGTCCGAGGTAGGACACACAGATTTTTGTTTTTGCTGCAAGAAACTTCCATGTGACAAGCCACTTCGTCGAGCTGTCAGCTGTGGCCAAGCTCAGTCGGCTTTACCTGCTCAAATAAAAATGTGTTTAAATGCTTTATTCGTTTCACACACACGCGTACTCTGGGTCCTGTGCCTGTTCCTGGTGCTGAAAATGACCTCTTACATTCACCTCGTACGAGCTGGTAGGTGTGGTGTAAATCTGTAATTTAGCAACACGCGCAAAGGTGTGCTGCTGCTCACCGACGGCAGGAAGTTACGACTCCCATCGCGCCTTTCGTGCACGGTCATGCAACCACCACATGGCATGTACATTGGTCTCAGGCTTGTCCAGAGAATCAGCTCAAAAGAGCTAAACTTTTGGTCATACTATGGTTGAGACAACCAACTGAAAGTGGAGAGTTGAAAATGTCCCCATCAAGCAGCGGTGTTGCGCGGTGATGGGTTTCCTCACTGCACAGAAGGGCCTGGGATCGACTTGTGGTATAATCATTGAGGCTTTGTTCTTCCCCAGCATCTTAATTCATACTCATGATTGAGTGTTTTTGCTAATGTCTTGTTGTATGTATTTTGAACTTCTTTCAGACCGTGCATAGCCAACCGTGCTAATTGAAGGTGCGAGGTATTGTCCGGAATTGTTTCTCATTTGTTCATCAGCTTAAAATACAACAATTACATACAGTACGCATGCACTGCAAACAATTAATTATTTACGCACATTCACGCCGACGATACACGATGCGCGTAATCGTTGGCGTGAGAATCAATTTGTAATCGGCGAATCGATGGATGTTACATGCGTCGTAAACATTCGGTCCACTTGGCAGAACTTCAATAGCTATGGCTTGGGGCCTGCAGCTACGGAGAATTACAAGGTCAGCTTTGGGATTTCTAGGATTTGCTGATGGTGGTTTAATTGATAGCTGGATTGCGCATGCTCGGGCATCGCTTAATAATTCACTCGCGCTTGCCCCGTAGCCAGAGAAGCCCCCCTGGGAAGTGGTGTTCTTTCCAGTGTAGCTGCGTCGAGCGGGGGAGAGGAATCCTGTACGAAGCAGCCAATGTCCTCTGCAGTCTAGCTGCATCCCATTGGTCCACTTTCATGCAAACAGCGGGGAACCATAAACCTTGGGTGCAGTTTGTTGTAGCTTGCAGTTTGTGGAGTGCTTTTGGGGGGAACGATGTATGTATGTCTGTATGTTTGTTGAACTTCTTTCGTACCGTACGTAGCCAACCGTGCTCATCGGGGGGGGGGGGGGGGGGGTGCGGGAGAAGGACTACAAATTAAACACAAAGAGCAGTTCCAAAGAAATTAGTTTTGATAACGAAAAGTAACAGAACGGTTGTATTAAAGAGGACTTGTTTTCAATTGGTGCATCGGTCAAACTTAAATCTAACTTTATTCCTTTTAAGGCACCTCTGTTAAAAAAAAAAACTTGGCCCCCTGTACATAAATGATTATCCTCCATGAAATCTTTACAACTCTGCACTTAAAACAGTAATTAGGTTAATCTACAGCCATACTTTTTTTTTACACAAATTATCTGTAAATGCCAGGCCGGAACAGTTAAGCAAGTTATTTTATTTACATGTTGGACGGTCAGGCAGGCCCTTATCTGACGAGGTAGAGAATGTTGCATAGTGGGGGCTGTGTAAGCAGAATGGAACCGGGGGCCCCCAGATGTTTATTTGTAGTCGCGTATCGCCTGGCATCCAAACGGGAGGGCACGCACCCTTGAAGAATTTTGCTCGTGTGGATCGAACGATGAATTCGGCTTGTGTGGATGTGATGCTGGTGGCTCGTTACATCGCAGGACCATGAGATTATGGCGACGGCTTCGGGGGGGGGGGAATCCTTCGTGCAGCAGTAGATAGATCAAGGCTTTCGAAACAGGGATCTGCCAACGGCTATAAAGTAGGTCCTTGAGAGAATTTGCAAAGGCTTTGGGAGGCGATTCATCCAACAGTGGATTCATCGTGGCTTCAGCACGAGGTGGCAGCTCCAGAGGATGGTGGCGGGAGGAGGGGGGGGGGCACACAGTGGCAGTTTCAGAAAGATAAAGCAAACGCAAAAAGACCCCTCGGTGGCGGCTGCTTCGTCCTGCGACCCGCTGCCCACAACCCTTCCAGTGCATGTCGGCGCGTTTGAGGACACGCACGTGTTCGTAATAGACTTGGAAGCACTCTACTTGCAACAGGGGTGATGGATGGGTACTGTATTTTGAAAAACCTGCCCATCTGTCTACTGGGAGGGGGAGGTTTTCCATTGGCGAGGATGGATCGGCGGCATCTGGTACTTTTAAAACATAACAGTGGCTTTTGTTCGTGATTTGGATAGCGCAATATATGTTTATATATTTTTTTACGGCATGAATTTGAAACAACGTAAATGTGCGGGTTTTTTTGTTCAGTTCAACGAGAATATACGCGTGAGCCATTTGTACAGTGATATATGTACAAGAGGTGAAGAGATACACGCCGTTGTGTTCGTGCGATACTGAGAATGGCAACGTCACTGGGAGGGACGATGCCCACTGGTCGAGACTAACAGTGGAGTGGCACACACCCCCAAGAGGGAGGGTCCACCACAGAATTTTAGCACGATTTTTTTAGCACGGTGAGCTACGCACGGTGCGAAAGAAGTTCAACATACACACATACTTGGCTTACGATGAAAGAAGTTCAACATACACACATACTTGGCTTACGATGACGACGATGATGAAGAAGAGCAATGGCGCAATGCTAAGCGCACTCCACGGTGAACTAAGCCACCTGTGTTCAATTCCCATCCGTGGCCCGACAGGTACCACGTGGTACCTGAATCGGGTACCCCAAGCAACACTCCCTCTTCACCAATCCGTACTGGCTGGCGTGTGACTGTATAGTCTAATGACCTCCATGACTGAAATGCCTTCATCCAGCCGTGGATGTAAAAGGCCTTGTAAACGATGTTAATATTATCCATAATACAGGTTTTTTTGGGGTTGGATCGTGTAAATATATAAATGTGTCGTTAAACCCGCCACCACCCGACACAGCCAATTAGTAAGGGTTGTCACGTAAACAGAACATGCCAATTCGTCACTAGTACAGTACACCGGTGTGTCGGAGAGCCAAGCCACAACATTTACAAACTGAGTACGACGTTTCGCCAGGAATTACAACTAGCTTCATCAGGCGACAACCAGATTTGTGGAGAAATCCTCCTGTTTGATGAAGCTAGTTGTAATTACTGGCGAAACGTCGTACTCAGACTGTAAATGGTGTTGCTTTGCTCTCCAACACACCGGTGTGCTGTACTCGGAACGAATTGACATGTTCTATTAACGTGACAAACCTTACTGTTTGGCCGTGTCGGGTGGTGGCGGGTTTAACGAGACATTTATATATTTACGCGATCTAACCCCAAAAAAACTGTATTATGGATGATATTTGTCGCGAAAGCCTACGTGTTAAACTGTTAATATTGTAAGAACTAGATTCGATGATGGTTGCTTGTGTTGCAATCGAAGCGTCATAATCTATTATTATTTAATTTATTTCTACGTGACTTTACCGAAAGAACCAAACAGTGTTGATATTGTGGGTTAACATTCTTGTCTTCAAATTAAGTCGTTTTTTTAAGGCCTGTTATTTTTAGAGGCAAGCAATGTTTTCAACGCGACACGTGTGTTGCTTATTCTCCCCCCCCGCCCGCATCAACATCAGCAGGGAATTAATATAGCTATACATTGTTTACAGGCGTGGCAATTGTTTACAAGACAATTTTAGCCTGAGCCGCCTTCTTGCGCACACCTGTATGTATTTTTTAAGCTTTGCGAATGAAATAATTTGCCAGATTAAATATAACCACAAGCACATTGTTGCATCATTAAGCCGGCAGCGTCGTCCGTCGCCTTCTCTCTGCGTGGCGGCGCGGGGTTGCGCCCGGCCACGGCTCCCAGCCACAAAGCGGCGGTCTCCTCGGGCAACTTCCCCGCTCGATGGCCGCTTTGATTGTGGGGGGGGGGGGGGGAACTGTGGGGGGGCGGGGGGAGCTCTGAAGGGTGGGGGGAGCTGTGTGTGAGAGTCGCTGCTGTCCCACCACCGACCGCGGGACCCAGCTGCGTAGCGTGGCTACGTTGAGCCCTGGTACGGGAAATTACATGCAGGTGGGCCCACTCTGTCTGCCCCCACTCCCCCCCATGCCCCTGCACCCACCCTTCTCCCGCTGCCCGCCACCCCCTACCCTCTTCGTGGCCCAGTACCTGGGCGGGAAGATGGACGAGTCCGTGACGTCTGGTGGCTTTATCGATAACGTTTGTCGCGTCGATGGGCGGCGCGTTAGTGCGACGCGAGCAACGCGTTGACAGGGTTGCCGGTTCTCGACTCCGCCCACGGCTGCTGTTTGGTATTAACACCCCCACCCCACCCCCTCCACCATGCGTTGTCTTCTCCGCAGCCGGACACAACATGGAGCTGCTGGAGCCTCTCGTCAAGTTCCAGATTGGACTCAAGAAGCTGAATCTGCATGAGGCAGAACACGTGCTGCTCATGGCCATCTGCATCTTCTCTCCTGGTGGGTGTGCACGCTTGCTTGCTCGCTCACTCGCTAACTCACTCACTAGCTTGCTCATTTGCTCACAAGCTTGTGAGCTCACTAGCTCACTCGCTAGCTCACTTGCTTTTGTTGCTCACTTACTAGCTAACTCGCTCACTAGCTCACTTGCTCACAAGTTTGCAAGCTCACTCACTAGCTCACTCGCTAGCTCACTCACTCACTAGCTCACTCGCTCGCTCACTCACTCACTCACTAGCTCACTCGCTAGCTCACTTACTTGCTCACTAGCTCACTCGCTCGCTCACTCACTAGCTCACTCACTCACTAGCTCACTCGCTAGCTCACTCACTTGCTCACTAGCTCGCTCGCTCACTCACTAGCTCACTCGCTAGCTCACTCACTTGCTCACTAGTTCACTCGCAAACTCACTCACTCACGAGCTCACTTGCTAGCACATTCACTTGCTCACTAGCTTATTCAGTAGCTCATTCGCTCACTCACTAGCTCACTAACTAGCTCGCTCACTCACTAGCTCACTGGTTTCACTCCACGTGCTGCAACCTACTTAAGCAGCTGAATTTTAATTGGGATATACGTCGGATGTCATGCCGATCGGCACGCGCTGCAACCAGAACACACATCGGAGACTTTCTTTGTTTTTCATAAATAGGTTGGCAGGATCTCAGCGGCAGTGCAATTGTATGTGTGTGGTAATTCACCAAAGATAAAGGTCCCCCGTGTAGCCTTTAACAGACTTGTGGGACAAGCGTTGTTAGGGAGCACCTATGAAGGCCGGCACGGCAGACGAGAGGGGTGGATGGCCAACACCACGCCCGGCCGCCAGGTACTCATTTAAGGCTGAATCGACCTAGGAGAGGAGCCTAGTAACAGTTGCAATATTCGCCACTGTTATTGGTCATGAGCGGTAAACGAACTCTGGTCACCATGTGTTAATCACTGCGCCACTGCTCCCCATTCCCCAGCAGCCCGTCAATTTTGGTTATCTCGTTGGTATTGCTGCTCGGGGTTTTTCATCCTCGTCTGCGCAGTTTTGTTCACCGGCGAAACTAATTGTAACTTTGGCGTGCCATTTGCATGGATAATTAACTCTCGCACGCACGATTGAATTCTATCATTGTGAGTGCGAAAAGGATGCAGTTGTGTATCGGAACAACTTGTACCTGGGTAAAACTAAATGTAAAAAAGTCGCTGTTTCCCCACTTGAGTGAGCATCGCTTGGCACTTACTTCGCCGAGCTAGAAATGTAAAGGCGTAGCCCTCCAATTGCTCGCTCACACCACTGCTGGCAGAATGAACATCAATAGAGGGCACTCACAAGACCTTCTGAGCTAGTGGTCTTCACTCATTTTCAGAGGGGGGGGGGGGGGGAGGGCACTTTCGTCGATAAGACATCAGCAGGGTGAGGATCGTCACACATTTTAAACCATTGGGGTTTGACAGCAGCACGATGATGGGGAGCGGGGGGGGGGGTGTTTTTACATTTGTGTATTGTCGGGGACCACGTGTCCGGGGGCGCACTAAAGGCCACCCCAATGCCTTGCAATGAATAAGACTGCTCTAGAGGGTTTTTGGTTTACTCTTCCACTCTGGCCAAATGGCCTGGAAGAGGTTGGAGAGGTGGAAGTACCCACGTTTTACCCCACCACATGGAGAGCTGCTGACCGACTGTGGTGCTGTGGCAAAAATTCTAAACTCTCATGATAGGGGAGGCCCAGTCTCTGCATACCCACAGCCAAGCGGCAACTTACTATTCACGAAAGTGGTTTTATGAACCGCGCAACAGATGATGATGATGACAGTTCTGGGTAAGAAATCGCGTCTTCTTCTTCTGTCTCTTCTTCTTCCTCCTCCTCTGCCACCCCTGCCGCGATCGACAAATCGGCGGCCCCAAGACCGGCCGAGCCTGCTGGAGCGCGAGCGCGTGGAGGCGATCCAGGAGCGGCTGTCGGAGACGCTGCGGGCCTACATCGTGTGCAACCACCCCCCGCCCAGCAGCCATCTGCTCTACCCCAAGATGGTACAGAAGCTGGCCGACCTGCGCAGCCTCAACGAGGAGCACTCGAAGCAGTACCTGGAGATCTCGCGCGAGGCCGGCGACCCGAGCGACCTCACGCCGCTGCTCCTCGAGGTGTTCGGCTCTCCGCTCTCCTAACGGCGGCGGCGCCGCCGCTCGAGCCTCGGTCGTTTCACGTTTGCATCTGGAATTTTTTTGTTTGTTAATCCTCTATTTCCCGGAACTTTTGTCGTGGTTGTTTTTGTTGTTGTTTTTGTTATTGAGTCGACGTTGAGATGCAACCAGTGTGCGTGCTGGTGCATTGCAGATCCTTGATTTACCTGCATTTTATCAAGGTCGCCAACTTAGCCAGTTTTTGTTCCATCCTGGTGCTGGTTAGAAGTTTTGCATCGTTGGTCTTTGTTTGTCGTTGGGTCTGGTCGCCGACGTTGTGACACATCTGGGACACGCGCGTAAAGGATGTCCTTTTGTTGAGGTCTTCGGCCAGGGCGATTCCACCCTTTGGCGAGATGACCCCGGCGGAAAGGGTTCAGGCGTGAGGTCTCAACCGGTTTGGTTTCAAGGTAACGCTGACGTAGCGTCTTCTCCGTCTGGCCCGCCTGACCCTTGCGTACGCGATCAGGTGCTGGTTCCAGCTGACACGCGTTCTCATGGTTGTGTCTGTCTTTATGTCATTTATTTTTTTCCCCCCTTCCTCTCCACATTTTTTACACATTACCTCAACTACGTACGTATCTCTCCACAGTGGCTGCTCAAAAAACCGTCCCGCTTTTACGCAAAACCAGTGCCATATCAATCCTCAACGACGTTTTTGGTTAAAATGTTCACTCTTGTCGAGTTTTTGGATCGTTAAATATTGTAATTATTATGATGACGACGACGATGATGGTGGTGATGATTGTAGGAATGATAGCGATGGTAAACTGTTGGGTGTGGACTGTGCATTGTGAGTAATATTCTTAACAGATTGCATGACTTGTTAAGTCAGCAGGGTTTTTTTATCGACAAAGCAAAGACGCTGCAACAGAAAAATGCGTCTTAACAAAAATATAATTTATTTTTACAGATATTCTTAGAGCTGCTATGTCTGTAAAAAAAATAACATTGCCATCCGTTTTACACGCATACTTGTGCTGTTTACGATTTGCATTGTTAACTTTTACAAATATTTCTCGAAATGAAACAAAATGGACCGGAATACGGATCGACAGTGCAACGGGACCGCCGGAATGCGACGAAAGTCGGAGAGAGAGACACCGCTCGCTGTCGACCGTCTGCAAGAGAGGACGGGCTCTAGACAAGACGAGACCTCTCTCAAACAAAAATCCTAGGAAATATGCAAACATTACCGTAGCGAGTATGGACGATGTTCGCACCTACCTGGATGTGGCACTGCCAACTTGAGTGTGGTGAACAGTGCACTGGTTATAGTGACCCCAGGCCTTTGCTTGGTTGTCTGTGTGGTGTGGTGCGTGGCAAATATACGTTGTGAGCTTGCATGGCACCTTGGTCTCTCTCTCTCGATAGAGAGACACAACCTCTTGATTAAATAATTCACAAAATGATTGTTTAAACTACCTCTGTGTGAGGTTTCTTTCTTTGTTTTTACTAGAGCACATTCAGGAGATAATATGAAAAATGCTTATTTTCAACACCAGCAGGCATAGCAGCTTCAACTCTATTGCTTGTTTCATGAATGAGAAAATTAAACTGCATAATGCTGCGGCTGTCAAAAACACACGAATGAAATGTCATTCATTGCATGTTAACTTTACTAATTTTTTTAACCGTTTTTTTTTTCCACATTCCAAAATAATCTGTGACAACCAACGACAAGTTTTGTTGAAACAATGTTGGTGTTTTTTGACGTGTTTACATGTCATATATCCACGCTTATGACAATTAAGTTTCCCAGGCATTGCGTGTCTTTGGAAGAATGTGTAAATCAAGTAACCCACGTGTTAGCGTGCAAGCTCATTCCTGACAATCAAGCTAAATGTGCGTGTGTCACTGTTTTACTTTCTTGCAATGTGGAAATTGATCAGGCAGTTTGTAGCGGCAAGGCATTAGCTGCACTAGAGTTGGCTATTTATGTCTTAACCCTTTTGACATCGGAAACATTGCAAAAGACCAGAGCTGTCCAGAGTTGGAGGGGGCTTCAACAAGGGGGGACATTGCCCCTTGGTCTCCCACAAAAGAGGGCCCCCCCCCATGTAAACAAAGAGAGCCTGGCTATTTTTTGTCGCGAATGAATTAACGGCGCCCCCCCCCCCCCCACGGACATTCTACTCTGGGGCTGTTCAGCCATCGGGGGCCTTCTCTGCACTCATCACAGCCCTGGGTGGCGGGGGGAGCGGGGAAAGCGCCCCTCCTCGTTTCCAACAAGCCTCATTAAATTGGCCTTGTTTTCTTTTAATTTACGTTGTGTTTTCAAACGTATAACCCGGTGCGTGCTTGAAAACATTTACCCACGTCGTATATACCCCCAAACAACCTTAACATGACCACGTTTTATTTGTCCCTCACCCGCTGCAACGACGGACGACAGCTGTGGTTAAAAAAACACTACTTGGGCAGTTGCATGAGCATTTAAATACACGTCTATATTGTAAATTATTTATGTGATTTAAAAAAAAAGTGTACATTATTTTTTGCAAGTTTTAAAGGCTCTGGGCTCTGAATTATCGGTGGTTAACGTTGATGGGCATTTAGATTTTTTTTGTGTTTTTTGTTTTCCTTTTAATAGTTTTCTGAACTGTAGTGTACTTGCCTTTTTCAAACGGACCCGTTACTCTTGGTAGTGCTTTAGTGGAGTGAACTATAACATTGAACTTGCTCGATTGCTGCGTGCTGTATTTGATTAAGCAAACTTCTACCTGGAGCTCTGTCAAGGGTGTGTTGTCGCTCTCTTTGTACTCGGTGTTTCTGGATGTTGTGACAGGGTTGACAAAACTGAAGGATGTGGTGTCATCGTCACTTTGAGATATGCGCTGCTTTTATTGAGGGTTAAAACCGCCCTGTTTTAGAGCAACCTAGTTTTTGGACGGTAAAACGATCCTGTGTGTTTCTAGGTTGACGAAACGTTGCTGGCGCTAATAAGAGATCGCTCGTTTCTCTCGTATCACGAGCTCCCGACGAAAGCACTTATTTTTCACGACGATGATATATAAACGACAGAATGTGTCACTAAAAGTGGAATGTTGTTTATGATAGAGAAATTATTTTAGGATTAAAGAGATATATATGCGTGCGACGCGGATGCGTATAAACACAATACAAATTGTCATACATTTTATATTTGTACAACTGATGTCCCCTATGCACATACTTTATTATTTTTCTGCTGTACCGTATACTTTACGGCGTTTTAAGTGTTCAACTTTACAGAGATGGGGAGAAAACATATTTTATGATATGCTGGTGGAAATTTATGTCAGAGATGTTGTGTCTGTCACATTGTTTTTAAGATGAATTGGTTTTTACGCAAACATCGGCGATGAAAAGATGTTCAGCAGAAGCTGATGACGTGTTCTTTAAACTAACAACCTGATGCGTATCAATTTTGCACTACATTATTTCCGACATCACTTTCGAAGTTAATTACCATGGTAACAACTAAATATGCATTGTAGGATGTCTCAGTGGAAAGATATATATATAAACCTCTTGGTTGAAAAACAATGAATGTCGCAACAGCCATATAAAGAATATGATTTGTTTAATCGGTCATTTTAATCGGTCATTTGCTCTTAAACGCGGTCACCCATCTCGTGCGCATGCACTGAGCACGAGAGGCACAGACAGAGCAGGACTTATTTTTACCCATCACGCATTGTGACAGGAGATGACGATGGTGATGGCTTTTGCCGATGGGTATATTTCTTAGGAGATTTGACATTTCTATCCTGAGAATTGGGGTGTTTGCTTTCGTACAGCAACAACAAAAAAATATAAGCAGGATCTTGCGTTCCAGAAATGGGTAGAATAGAAAAAAACCCCGATTTGGTCATCTTGGACTTCTTGCCTCTCCCTCCTACTCCTTGTCCCGACCTCTGCCCTTTCTGCAAGCATCACCTCGCCACGCATGGCACAGCTCTCCTCCTGCTCCTCATCATCCTAGCTTGATCACTAAAGTTCTCAACAAACCACTCTGCGTGTTAAATGGGCATTTCGCACAAATACACAACGGGAAACAGGTCGGGGCGATTCGGAGAAAAGGACCCGGGTAAGAGGAGGGTGTCGATGCCTCCGTCGGGGCGGAACGATGGAGACTCGAAGGTCCCGTCGTCGAATTTGGGGTGAGTGGGGAGAGTGTCGTTTGTTTCTCCGCGTCGTTTTGTGTCGCTTTTTGTTGTTGTAAAACCTCGCTAGATACGACGGCGTTACGTGGAAAGTAACATTCGTGCACGAGATCACACGCCTCGTTTATCCTGCTGTAATGTTAGAAGAAGAAGAAGAAACCTAAGCCATTTTAACAAAGAATGTGTGTAAGCGTGTCCTTGCTTGTATATCACGCCGTTTATATTGCGATGTCGTTCCGACGTAGAATTTGTTTCCGGAGACGCAATCTCGTGATGGTTTTGACGAGGCACCAACACTTTTGTCTGCGCACGTGTCATGCGTTGCACTTGAGAATAAACAAAGAGCTCTTATAGAGAGGTGGTTTTGTTGCTGTTGTCTTGGTGCAAGGAGTGGTTGTTGGCGTTACCCGCACGCTGTAACAAGTGTGCTGTTGAATACAGGGCGATTCGTTTTTTGGGAACCCCGCTGATTTATAATGGCCCGATTTCTTCTCAAGCGGTTCTTGATTTGTGTGAAAGTGCTGGCCTCGATCTTACACAGGAGCGTATTTCGTCCATGGGCCCGATCAGAGGTCGGTACCGCCTAATTTGAGCAAAACATCAGTCGTATCCATCTATATGGCCACCGCGAGTGTATTATTTGATAACCTCGTGAATTTCAAGTGGTTATCACGTAATCCACTGTTATTGGCCACCTAAAGAAATTTGGCCCATTAAAGGTGGTACAAACCAGTTCAATATCTGGGCTGGTTAAAACGATTTAATACTTGCCGAGCTATCTGTGAGATACATGCAAAGGTTTGTATATTATTAAATGTTGCTTTCCCTGCACAGTAAAATGCTTTCTCCGTTATTTTGTGACGGGGGGGGGGGGTAATCCATCAATTGATCACCCCGTCGAATAAATAATCATCATGCCCGGAAATTCACCTTTGCAAAAGCGTTACAAGCAACAAAAACATTGGGTTCGTGAGTGGACGGAGTCACAGAGGGCGGGAGACGTGAAACGGAGCGGACGCAGCCGCCAATAATCGCCATCTGCGGTCGTTGTGTGCGCCGATTGCCTTCCGCATTTGGCCACCGCGTTGTGGGGACGTCGTCTCGCCTTTTGAGAAGCAGCTACTGTGGGCGTTGGGTGGTGGGGGCAGTAAGGGGGCTCCGTGTGCAGGGAGCAATGCAACCACTCAAGTTCGTGCGAATCACGAGGCACGCGTTCCCACAGGAACCATGCATTTTGTGAAATCGGGTTACGGGACGGCGGGGACAAAAAAAAACAATCGGGTTTTGTGTGTCGCAGTTTTGTTTTCTGGATTTTGAACAAAAACGCGTGATCGCGCTGGCACAAACCTCTGCAACTGGGCGCTCTTGTGCATTCTCAAGCTGCGCCCGTAGCGTTGCGCGCGTGGACTGCGATCTCGGTAACGGTGTATTATGAATGTATGCGGTATTACCAAATGACTAGAGTGACTTCTAGACCTGTGCCGGAGATGCAACCAGCATTAATACAGCAAACTTGTACCCTATGTAAAAAATAAACATTAAAAAACCCATATATATTTCAAGACTAAAAGCTGTATATTTTATGTGCCAACGTTATGAATTTATACATAGGATGCTTGAATGTTTCATTGGCTCTTGTCGTATTTATACTGCTGTTAAAATATGACCCCCACCCCCGCAACGACTCACAAAAACACATCCTAAATTTGTGTCGTTCTCGACTGCAGGTCTTCGGAGAAATGCCTTCGTTTTCTGTCACGCGATGAGCAACCAACAGGCATTATTCACAATTGTACTCTTATGCAATATCACTCCGTGTGGTGGTGGATCAACAGTGCCGCACAAGGCCGGCCCTTGGCTTTTGACGTTAGGGTCAGGTACAAAAAAAAATGTCACGTCCGTTTAGCACTGCGTAAACACTGCACGGGGCGCGTTCGTTAATGTTTTTGTTGGTTAAAAATGTGAATGTGTCTCCTCGCCGCGTCGCGACTGACAGGGTAACCAACAGGTGATGGCTGATGTCCAGTGATCTGTGTACGTGTGTGTGTGTGTGCCATCGAATTCTGTTGCTGCTGCTTTTGTAGCTACCGTCCACTGACTGATCGGTGGACTCTTTGTAAGAGGGTCATTAAAGGTCCCTTAAAGGGTGTGGGGTTGCGGTAACAGATGTTGTTGCGCCGTGTTCTCGTTGTGCTATGCCGGTGCTTGCGTGGAGCCTAGAGGAGTCGCTGCCAGTGCCGTGTTGTTTGGGTGCAATGCGGGTGTCGCGTGGGTGTCAGTCTGGACAAACCGCCGAGCGAGGGAGCAGTGCTTTGTCACGTATGCATGTACCTATGTTGAACTTCTTTCGAAACCGTACGTAGCCAACCGTGATACTCGGGATGTTGCGGAGGAAGTACAACAAACTCAACACGTAAAGCAGTTTTAAAGAAATGACACCTGCAACAGATGCTGCGCTCCTCCTGCCCCCCCTCTCTCCCCACTATGATTGCACACCGACTCTCGAGCGTGATGGACATTGAGAGGCATGCGCAACGTATTTATCTTGTGACATCGCTGCACTCGAGCCGTTCCACAAATCCGTCGGCACTTTAAACAAAAAAAACAGCATTGCGGTTTCGTCGATCCAAGCAGATTCCCTCTATTCACTTGACGTCCCTTTTGGCTATGACCCTCGGGTGTGTGTTTAGGTGTTGTCACTTGTTTTTCTTTAAAAAGAGCTGTGCGCCCGTTTGTGTTGAACACCTTGAATTATTATTACAGAGAGTAAACACAATTTCATAGTTTAACGCTGTGTACGAATAAATGTGTAAGATAAAATAATGGTTTTCAGGTGTTCTACACAATCAGCCCCGCTGTGTTTTATTGTATCGTACGATTGTTAATTTATGCAGCAACATTGCTTTGTGAGCTTTACCCCCATCATATTTTATCCTATTAAAAAACAATTTCTGTCGCTTTTCATTGAAAAAATAAATAGATGTCCATCTCGCAGCCCTTTTGCAAATACTGTATATATACAGACGCACAACACAAGCTGTGCATATGCGTGCACATCCGCACACACCTGTAATCTTTACAATAAACAAAAGAATTAATCTTCTAAACGTTAAAACGGTATATTTGTTGAGCTGAGTGTGCATACGATTGTAAAATGAATGTGTCGTGAAATACAGAACATAAAAACGAAAACTGAAGTCTGTTTCATCTCAAATAATGTCGCGTACATGCATATATATGCTGACCTACCACACAAGGCGTTGTGTCCTGTACATATGGGTGTAAAATAAAGGCTATATTAGGCATTTTAAGTATTTTTTTGTAATTTTTTAAAAATTGTACGTGCCTTTGTTTTTACAGTTCTCATCATCATCAATTGGGGTTGCAGCGAAGTGGCAACACACATGCCTCGCTAGTGAGAAGTACAAGAGTTCGATTCCCCACTCGGGCGCCTTTCTGTGTGGTGTTGATTCTCCCTCCGAGGGTTATTCCGCGTTTCCGGTTTCCTCCCAGAGCTAAAAAAAACCCGCAATGTGGACAGGATCCTCTTAACAAAGTATATTTGGGCTTCGTGTGGTGGCTTTCTTGTGTTAATAAGTATGTATAATTACTATCACCCACGATCTGTCCGCTGCTAGATGAAGGCCTCCCCACGTCGTCATCATGTCTTGTGGCCTTTGCATCCTTGCATCAATTTGCACATTTATAGTCGACAGCAGAAATCATGGAGATTGATATTAATGTCTTCCGAGAATATCAATGAAACTTTATTTATTTAGAGGCACCTTTCTTAAAACCAAGGCATGTATGTTGAACTTATTTCGCACCGTACATAGTTAACCGTACTAATCGGGTGTACGGGGAAAAAGACAACAAACTAAACACTACATAAAGGATCCGCCATTAAAAATGTAAAACCAGAGTAATTATGTTACACGACAGCCATACGTTTTGTATCACCAATACAATTTTCATCATCGAATGCCATGATAATCGGGGTAACGTATTACGGTTTTTCTCTGTTTACTTTGGGGGGTCGGGCAATCAGTCCCCTTAACCGACGAGGTATAGGGAATTCCACAGAGTGGTTGGGGAGGCGGCGGGGGGGGGCATGGAAGCAAATGGAACGGGCCCCAGAAGTTTGTAGTCGCACCCTGGGGGGGACATCTAGCGAGCGATCCCTCCACCGGTGGATGATTGAAGCGGTGTGTCGGGCCAGTGGCTAGAAATCTTCGCTTTCAGGTAGCAGCATCCCAGGTCGTCGCCGGGGATTTATCAGTCAGGAGGGCTGCCATCGCACCGGTAGCCGGTACAGTCCACGGGGTCACCGGCTTCACATGACCGACCCTAAACCTGTGCCCTTCATTGCAAGGCCCGCGGGCCCCTGGCTGTGCGCCTGATGGACTTTAGTGCGGCCCCTGACGGGCAGTCCCAGACAATACAGACATGGTGAAAACACCGCCCCCCGTCTCCACCATCATCATCATCATCGTGCTGCCGTAAAACCACAATGGTTTCAAATGTGTGGCGGCCCTCACACTGACGACGTCTTATCGGCGATGGTGCCCCCCCCGCCCCCTCTGAAAATTCGTGAAGAACACTGCTCTAGACGAGCCAGCCCAACGACTATGATTGACACTCTGTCAAGGTTTCTCAAACTCCAGTCCTCGCGACGATCAATTTTCTCCCCATTCAAATGCAAAGGAACTCGCTCCACGACGCACGCGTCCGATGATTGTTCAACACGTCCCACGTGGCACGCTGAGCAATTGTCTGTCACGTGGAACGCGTTCACACGTACACGCGTACACCGAGATCGCAATCTGATTTCGAATCGTCTTCATTAACGCAATAGCCGTACTGATTTTTTTCATCTTCATTTTCTTTCTCCAATGGCAAGTGTATCAATGGTCCTCTCATATCTTACGTTATATCTGCCTCCGCGTTCCAAGTCTCCTCTGATGATGCACGTGGCCTGTAATGCCGGCACTGCGGAGGCGCACAATGTCACACGACTCTGTTCCCTTTTGGGCGTCGAGGTGCCGTTCCCTGGCTTGCCAGGAGAATGCAGTGCAGTGAAGTGTGGACTAAATATCCACGTGTACCATCTGTGTGGGGATAGAGTGTCCCCCCACCCCCTCGCACGCGTTGGGCTTGCTCCCACACGTGAATAATAAACACTCATCATTGATTGGCCCAAAACCTCTAAACATGCACGGCACCTCCATGTGTCGAGGCTTTGTGAGTATTGCGAGATGCAGTTCGCGTAAAAGACACTGCTGTATAATAAACGCAATTACAGTATTATCGTTTTGCCATCAAAGCAGTTAAAGATAACACTGATTTATTCCACTAGGTGGCGCTGGAGGCAAAGGAATGTTCTTTTCCTCTCTGTGCTCTTGCCATCGACGGCTCAGTGAATGTATGTATGTTCAATTTATTTTGTAGCCAACCGTGCTAATCGGAGGTGCGGGGAAAGGACAACACACTAAACACAAAAAAGGAGCTCTAAAGAATGGAGTTTTCGCTGTGTCCGGCATTGAAATAATCAAACGATTTATCTGTTTTATTCAGAAAGTCGTCATTTTTTTTGCAACGTTTCCTTTTTTTCAGTTGATCATCGTCATAAATCAGTCTTGAATGTATCCGCTGCTGGATGAAGGAGGCCTACCCACGACGTTGCCTTCGATGTCACGATGCATCTTCTCGCACTGCTGCTACGGTATAGCTGATCTCATCACGGTGGCCACCCTGCATTTAAATATCAGCAAGACATCGGCGCTAACTGTAGGTGATACTGTGGTGCATAAATGATGGGTTCCTTAATATATCTCTCTCCTTTAAAGCGAATTTTATATTGAACTTGTGTCTCTCTGACGCCCGACCACTGGTTCGTGACATCAACTGAAAGTTTAGCTGTATGCAATTGGTCAGTAAATGTGCAGTGTATCAAAATCAAAATAAAATCATCTATGCCTCGAGTTTCAAGGCTGGCTACTAGCTGGGCTCCTCTCCACCCCAGCAGTAATTCTGGTGTTCGTGGCTGCTGCGGGCCGTTGCCACCTAAACTAGCTGGGTAACTGGCTATATGGGATTTTTTTTGTGCAACAAATAAGCATTGAGTTGAAACGGCAGAATAACAAGTTCGGAAGACGTCTACTACTACTAATAATAGTAGAAAGTGACACCGAAGTGGGAGTAACGAATACAGAATGAGACTGACCAAGGGTAATTTAAAATGACTACCTTTTCAATCTGTGCTCATTTTCAGGTAATTATTTCACCAGAATAGAAACCTCCCTCACAATACACATTGGCTTGGCATTTTATTACATTAAAGCGGATTACTTTTAGTGCTCCCAGTATGGGAAGATAGTGAAGATGAAAATGAAAGCAGCTGTCTCTCTTTTTTTCCCGTTGCAGAGCCAAAATTCCAGATGCGAGCCGCTCGTTCTGCCACTGAGCCAGCCGGCAGGTGATGATGTCCCGCTAGCAACAATGAAAGGAAAAATGAGACTAATTCAGGAATTGGCAATGCAACCAATGTATGTATCAATCTTGATTTGAAGCTTTCGTGACTGCAGGAATCCATACTCTTTGGTTCTTTCGGTAAAGTCGCGTAGGTAGAAAAATAATAGATCTCGACGTTTCGATCGCAACACAAGCAATCGTCATCAGGTGGGATAACCACAGCAAGAAAAAAAACTGCTGATGTAAGCCTACTTCAGAAGTTTTTTTCTTGATAAAGGAGGCTTACTTCAGCAGTTTTTTTTCTTTCTGTGGTTGTCCCACCTGATGACGATTGCTTGTGTTGCGATCGAAACGTCGTGATCTATTATTTTTCTACCTACGTGACTTTACCCAATGTATGTATGTTGAACTAATCGGAGGTGCGGCGGAAGGACAACAAACTATAGACAAAAATCTATTCTGAAGAAATTATTTTTTCAATCTAGATTTAAGAGTGCATAGCTACTGTGTCCCATTGCAAATGGGTGAATGCCTCCCTACGTTGTGTAGGTCATGGCAGGTGTTTGACCATACTTCAGCACGCTGGTCAGTGCGGGTTGGTGAAGGTTGGGGGGAGGGCTGGGGGAAGAGGGTAGCGTAGGGAGGGGAAAGGAGGAGGACAGGACCGGTCCTGATACCCAATTGCCAAAAATGTAATTAGTCGTGGCCGGGTTCGTAGCGATACCAAACGTGGGCCCATGACATTGCCGTACCAGAAGGGGTCGTGACACTGTTGTCATCATCATCATCATCCAGGGCCTTCAACAGTCGGGCTCATCCTGGGACAGAGGGCTACACGGGCTTGACAGGGGGGGGTGGGTGGGGGGCACTCGCCAGCATCAGCCAGCACGAGGAGGGGGTGCGGCCACCGATGTAACTCAACGTCGCAATCGCTCTCCCTGGCGGTGCGTGGCGCTATCCCCAACACCGTCAGCAGGGGGCAGAGGCAACACGCAGCTGGCGGGCGCCGAGCGGCACGCGGCAGCCACGGCGTCACGCGGCCACAACGGCCGGCGTCACGGCGACAGCGAAGTTCGCTGCGAGAACTCACAAACACAACGCCTTGCTGCTTGGGAGAGGCCCCAACGCAGGAGATCCCCGGGATATTTGATCTTCCAGCGAAGCTCGCGGCTCGTCCTGAAACCGCATCAGCACAAACCATTGGCAAGATTCGGATGCCTGATGCGCAAAGGGGCAACCCCCCCCACCACCACCTCTCCAGTCTGCGGTCATCCAGAATAGACGATCAGACTCATAACGACGCAACGCCCGATCCACAAATAGGAAGGGGACGTCGCAGCGACGATACACCCCGCTGCTCGTGACACCGTCGCCTGCCTTGACTCTCCTGGGGGTCAAGTTGAAGTTGTTGCGCTGCATTGACATCAGCCACGTGGCGGACGAGGATAGGGAAGTTGAGCGCGTGAATAGATAACCCCCCCCCCCCCCCCGTGATTTGATTTGCCTCGCGGTTCTATTTTAAATTACCGGATTCATTCATTGCTATACTGAAATTACGCGTGCGTCGACTCGCACTGCTGACCAGAGTGGTGAAGTATGGTCAAACAACCCCCCCCCCCTCCTTGCCCAACATGACATGACCACCACGGCGTGCGGTGGACTTCTGTCCAGCATTGGATTGGTAAACGGGTGAAACACGTTGATTGCATTGTTACTAATATATTATTGTTGTGGGTGTTTGTGACTGATAAATTCGTCTCGTTTCGTGATGTCTGCACGGGCAATGCTTGTTTGCCTATGTGAATGCGCGGGGTTTCCTTTAGTATAATTTAAG